AATTTACCTAATAATTAATAATTTAGGTAATAATCAGGATAATAATTACTAATTTAACTTATGCAACCTGAAAATTCTCAAACAGTTTATTTTCTTGTTCATAAGCGCAGTACTTCTTCAAATTATACTTCATTTGAAAACCCCTAGGTCATATATGCATTTCATATCAATTTATCAGCTAGACAAACCCGCTGATCTTCATGACCATTGTTCGAGAAATCAGTGCGTTTTTACGCATTTTTCAAAACAAAAAATGCGGTTCCGTATGTCGTATCCACATAAAAAGTGTAAATCTCCTTCAAATCGATTTTTTCTATTGCGCAAAATCAGCATTCTATGAATATGATTTGACTATTTCACAGCGTAATCGAATGGACGGCTAATAAAGCTTCGAAAGAAAATGAAGTCTAATCAAAGGTTTAAGTGTAGTCACTGGCAACCAATATTTACGACTGCGAAGGAGCACATGTGCAACTAACCCTCGCACTCTCACCCCGTTACTTTTCATGGACAGTTTTACTCTTTGAGATCTGTAACATGAAGAGCAAAACGAAAATCAACAAAATATCTAATGAAGAACGGAACTACGAAAAACAGAAATAAAAACTTAAGGCATAGCCAACCCAATAAATTTTCGTTTCCTATATGGCAGTTTCTCTATCTTGAGCAGCAAGAGGAATCAACGGCATGTGTACGTTCTTTTGAACATCGCTGCTTTCCGTATCCACCGCAGGACTCGTCGCCAGATTCAAATCTTTTATCGGTTCCCTTGCTTCTGGTATCTGCAACGGAAATTCTTCAGCCCGATGAATGGCCAACGCAGGACCCCAGTCGTCTTCCGGACACATTAGATCTTGAAACCTCTAAAGATAAGAAAATATTTTGGGCCTCTGCACGTTAAACTCTCATCAACATATAGCCAAAAATAAATATTTAAATAGCATTACTTCCGAAAGTGTTATAGAATTATTACTAGTATAACGTACGTGTACTTTCGGAAAGCATTTACATCACAAATGGATCATTTACACAAATGAATCACAAATACATCATTTACATCACAGATGGAGAGTAATACAACTCCATCGTTGATGTTCCCAAGTCTGGATGAGAAAGTAGTAGGGCCACCTGCCCCTCATGGTATTACCGTTATTGAACGTAAAGCCGGCTCAGTGGTTATCGGGTTTACCAAAGGCCAGTTCCAAAGTTGGCAATTCGTTTAGCCCGTGTCTTTGAGGTTTCTCCGTCAACTGTCATAGATTATCATCTGGTCGATCATGCTTTTGAAGTGTTCTCCCGGTGCGCCAAAATCTGCTAACGGTTGCGAAGATAGGGAACAGTATACCGCTAATCACCAGGTCGTGACTGGTGCAACAACACATCTAACAGGTCATCAGGCGTTGTTACTCGCAGCAAACTACTGCGATGTTGCTCTACGAGACACAGCCAGCTGTTATGACTAGCGCTTGCCTTAGTGTTGATTT